CACCAAGGATATGTTTTTATTGATTTTAGAGGGGGGAGAAAAAAACGGATCAGTTGCAAAGTCAAAAAGAAAGGGATTTGGGTATAATTAGGAAAAGCCCTCAAGTTGGTCATAAAGCAATTAAAAATCGAGCCTAAATATTAACATAAAAAGTATGCCTAGTAGCAGCTGGAGAAAATAAATTTTATTAGCATCTGATACTGTCCTAGAGGAAAGGTATAATATTGCTTGTCTTAAATTATCTTTCTTAGAATAGGAAAGTCAAATGATAATTTTTAGAGAAATATTTAAAGGAAATGGTTCTTTTTTTTTAAATATTTTATTTATTTATTTTTAGAGATGGAAGTGAAGGAGATAGAGAGAGAGAGAGAGAGAGAGACATCAATGTGTGGTTGCTGGGGGTCATGGCCTGCAGCCCAGGAATGTACCCTGGCTGGGAATCGAACCTGGAACACTTTGGTTCCCAGCCCGCGTTCAATCCACTGAGTTACGCCAGCCAGAGGCGAGAAATATTTAAAATACATGTTTTACTAAAAAAAAAAAAAAAAGGCCTGAGCTTTTGAGAAAGAAGCAACCTACGTCAGCAGACGAGGAGGCAAGCCCCCGATCTCGGATGATTTCCATAAAAGCCTTTGCAGCTGCGGGGCCTTCGGGGGCGGGGGGGGTGCAGAAAAGGAAGAAAGGGAGTGCTTGCCATCAGATTGGCAAAAGTTTCAGAGTAATAGAAGCCACTAATGGCAAGGGTGCCAGGAAACTTGCATGTTGATATCTTCTAAATTGTATCAGCTTTCCTGGAGGGCCCTTTAGCAACAGAAATCAAAAACATTTTTAACATGCACTTTGATTCAACGATAATAGCTGTCTCTAGGACAAATTTCTTGACCAAGTAAAGCACAAAAAAGATGTAAGCCTGCAGAGATTTACTATGGTGTTTAATAGTGAAAAATTACAATCTAAATACTGTTGGCAGGAGACTGATTAAGGAAATGATAATACACAGTAGAGTACCATGTAGTCATTAAAAGTGATGGAGATTTATATACTCTACTGTGCAAAGAGGTTCCCATGGCAGTTTGGTGAGGAAAGCTTCCAGAGTGGGGCAGTGAAACACTTATACACGATTATGTGAGCGTGCCTACAGAAGGAAGTCGGAAGGGACACTTCTCCTGTAACAGGTGACTGCAATTCTGAGATGTCTGGTCATTCTCTGTCCCTTCTTGTACTTTTCTACATTAATTCTTCTTTTACAAACACTGAGTACATATTTTTACCAAAGTAAAGGCATTTTGTTTAAAAAAGAAAACACAGGTCCAAAATCTATCTTTCTTTAAAAATGCCAATATATATATAAATAAAGACAAATCCCTCTTATCCTGTTGTAAAAGGGCAATAAACAAACAAACCAAAGCACACCCTTCATTTATAAGTTAATTTTTAAATTTAAATCTCCGGACAATTTAAAGTATTTTACAATAACTAAGAATGTTTACATTCATAGTTTTATTACCACTGAGGTTTTAGCTTCTGAAAGGGCAAAAGCTGCAAATTACCTGTAAATTCTAACTACACAGGGTCCCATGAACACGTTACACACAAACCGCAGTAAACATTGGCAGTGGGCCATTCTGACCAGTGCTTTGAGGCTACAGTCCCACTTCCAACAAATGTAGACCATGTACGGGTCCACAGGCATAAAAATCTATGAAGTTTCCAATTATATCAGTCAGGAATTATTTATATACTTGACGTTTTTCCTTCTAAGGGGAGGAAAAAAGAAGACTAACTCTGAATATGCTCCACCTCCTCAGAAATCCTTTCAAGTATGTGTTCCAACTATAATAAAAGGTAAGAAAGTTAACAAGTCATTGTTCTTGAGGAACAAGTAAGTTAACTGTAGGTGGCGTGCTTCCTTTTTTGGTGCCGGGGGCGCTACCAGCTGGTGTCACTGGAGGTCCTACCGACTGAAGAGCACTGATCCCAGCCATTCTCTCCACTTAAAACGCCTGCCCTGGTAACACAGCCTGTCACCGCGCCACGGTGGCGTGGTGCTCACTGGGCTTGAACACGTCCATCTCCTAGAACCATGAACCCACAGTCACTGTTCATTCTTTTCACGACTAAGTGACTGTGATAAAATTAATGCTGCCTCCACCATAATCCGATGATAAAATACCCCAATTCAAAGTAACCGATGAGCCCATCCTAAGCAGTCAGTCCGTGCATGCCCCAGGCCGGTCAGCGGAGCGAAGGGAAGGCCCTATTTTAAATTCTGGGCACCCGTCCTCTGCTCCAGTCTGCTGACAAAATAGCTCCCACTAGCTCTCCTTTTTTGGAACTTCTGATGAAATGATATACCACTGCGTAAAATACAAATTTATATTTATCTTATACATATTCCATGTGAAATAAAATTCCACAATAAATATGAATAAACAAAAAGTAAATCCAAAATATTTCTAAGAAACTGAAGGGCTTCACTGTAAGCATTTCAATGTGTACCTTTTCAGGCCAGCAGATGTAGCTGTGAGTCAACAATATAGGCCCTGTACAGTTACAGGGAGCGTCAGCTGCTCTGGGTCAGCCGTTAGATGGCACCCCCTTTTTTAAGAAAAAAAAAAAAACTGGGTTTATTCTGGAGACTTAATGCAACTGAAGGCAGTGACCAACAATTATTTGACCCTGAGGCTGATTCTGACCTACACCAGTCGTCTCGGTTATTCTGGAGTGCACGGACTTGGACCGCTTCCGTTTACCATTTTCTGATGGTTTCCTCAGTCGTAGGAAGAATGGCATTTCCCAGTAAAAGACAGTAAACAGTGAGAAAAGTTCATCAATGGGCTTTTCTGTGGGAACCTCAGGGTTCTCTCAACTCTCTAAATGCGGAGCTGAAATATACCACATTGCTCTCCAGGAGCCTCAGAGCAGGGTCATCCACTGAGAATCTGCTCAGTCTTAAAGCCTAAGACGCACCTAGAAAGTCTACTGGGTGCCTTGTCTTAGCAGAGCCTGGCCCGGGGCAGGCCCACAAACGTCTTCTGAGTGAACAAGTCAATGAACACTGCTGCTTTCAAAAGATGTCCCCTTGACAAAGTGCCAGTGGTCCATTTTTCTGTGAGATGCTTCAGCCATAAGATCAAACGGGTGTGTCTAATGACCTACATGTAGGGAGAGAGTGTATTTGCAGTCTCCCTTTTTAGTTAAAGACATTAAGACGCAATATAAAAGGATTCTAAGTATCCTCATATTCAATAGTGTCAATCAGAAAAGAATATTTCTCCCTCAAATATTTTATTAGGCAGTAATCCTCTTATCAGTCCCATAGAAGTTCACATTCTAGAAACTGAAATAGCACAGTCTGGCCCATAAAGCCCAAGTCTGCAAGCATATAATTTAATTTAAATAACCTAATTTTGTTGGCCTATGAAAATTTGCCTGCGCGGTTACTTCCAAGCTAAAGGTTAGTCAGACTAGGAGAAAAGCAACACCTATTTGTGTATCAGTATATTTTGAGTGGAAAGTACAATAATGCCTATGTTTAGTTATGATTAAGCCAAGTGAAAAACTCAATAATGCCAGTAATAATTCTAATAATAATACCTATTATTCCAGCAATTCTCCCCTCCCTTCCCCCCTACTGAATCACTCCCATTGGCATGCACGCCTACCGTTAATTCTCCCAACTTAAAAGATAAACACAAACTGTCTTGGCCCCAACTCCCCCTTCTAAGTATGATCCCACGTCTCTTTCCCTTTACAGTAAGACTTGCCATGCGTGCTGCCTCAATCTCTCTCCGCCACTCCTGTATGCAGCCCTCCACTCGGCCGTACCCATCAATGACTGCGCCACGTGCTCAGTGGCCTGTCGGTGCCGTCTCGCCTTCTTGAAAGCCCGACACCCAAGGCACCATCCTCCTGGTCTTCCCTACCCCGGCAGGGGCAAACCCCGGTTGCTCCTTTCCTCATTCCCCAACCTCTAACCCTCAGGCGGGCCCAAGAGTTCCTTCCTCAGACCTCTCTCCGTTCATTGCCTTAGTGATGTCATTCTGATCTCATAGCGTAAGGTGCAGTCTATCCACTAATGAGTCCCAAATTATATCTTCACCTTGCATTTCCCCGCTGAATGCCAACCTTCCGCATGTAACTAACTGCTGGCTCGACTCTCCCCTTGGCCACCTAACAGGTATCTCAAACAGACAGGTCCCAGAAGGAGCCCCGACTTCACCCCCACATCTGCTCCTGCCACACTGGTCCCCATCCAGTTTCCAGCTGCTCAGGCCAAAAGCCTTGGAGACATCCTTGACTTCACTTGCTCCCCGCCCCGTATGTTTGCAGCCAACCTGTAACAGATCTTTGTTGCCTCTACCTTCAAAACACATCCAGGACCTCTTTCCCTCACCTTCCCTGCTGCGACCTGTCCCATTCCACGCCACCGCCACTGGCAGCTGTCACAGAGAGCCTGGTCCTCAGAGCTTCCCATGCGTAGTTTAAAAAAGACAGTCATTCTGAATGGATAGCTTTTTAGCTTGTAGTCTAAAGTGTACACACACACACACACACACACACACACACACACAGAGGCTTTTTAAATTTTTCCCGTAATGTGTAAATATATTAATAATTTAAATAATAATTTTACAATTCTTTAACTGCTTTAGAAGAATATTTATATACATGGATGTCAAAAAGCATAAAAAGTTGTTCCAAAGTTGATAATTTCACTGAACAAGTAGCTAGTGCCAATTTATATAGAATGAACATTTGCTATGAATTAGTCATTTGTTAATTACATTTGAAGTTCCACCACCTTTAAATATGTAAATTACTTATATCATTTACTAGTCACGAGGAGTTGCCTAGTTATTAGTAAGAATTTAGTTACCTTCTCTGTTGTCACTTCTAAGATAGTGAACAAACTATACAGATTTGAGAATCGGGAAGATTTGGACGCAGAAAGCAGGATAAACATCCCAGACACCAGGTACAGGACTGTAGTTACTTACACTGTGAACTCCTAAAGCCTTCCAGACGGCGAAGCTGATCACGCCAACCCCACACCACGCGTACAGGGAGCCCCAGCCCAGGGCTCGCAGGGCCAGGGACGACCCACTCTCCGGGAGAGCAGCGGTGGCCAGGCTCCCCTGCAGGGAAGGCAGAACGGCTGGGGTCAGAATCCACACTTCAGAAAGAATAAATATTTGGGGAGTGTTTGAGGTTCATGTAAAAAATAACAATATCTACAAAAATGCCCCCAAAGAAACTGTTCAAATTTATATAAAACCATTTATAACTTATATTCCTATATTAGTGAGAATGAGCATTTTCCCAAGTCATGAACCAAATGTTTATGCCTTTTGAATTGTATGTTCATGTTGTTTGCCCACTGACAGTTTCCTTATTTGTATTTTCTCTTTATATATTGATATTCTTCAGCCCTTACACCTGTGTTATATATTATCCTATTCTCCTAGTTTGCTTTACTTTTAATTCCTTGTATTTTGTTTCTTAGTTTTCGTGTTTGACCAAAGATGCATTCTAATCTTTTAAGCTCACTAAAACTTCCCCTATCCTAAAATTACAGTCATTTCTCTTTTCTGTTAGCTGTATTTTTTTTAATTGTCTCTTCTTTTTACCACTGATTTTTTAGTTCATCTGGTATTTATTTTGGTTTTGATTGGAGCTAATGACTCAAGGAAGTTTACTTCTCAGAAAGCTTGGCAACTACCCCACTCTAATCTAGTCAATTAATCCTTCTCGTCCCAACTTATTAGAGAAACCTATATAGAGAGGTTTATTTATAAGCTATTTTTGTACAACTAACTTATCTATTTTTATGCCAGAATCACACAGATTTAATTATAGAATTAAAAAGTCTTAATATCCAGAAACTACATCAATCATTACTTTTTTCAAAAATCTTTGTTGCTTTTGCCTATTTCTTCCAGAAAAATCCTAGAACATCTTTTCCTTTTTTAATTGTTGTTCAAGTAGTTTTCTGCCCCCCCAACAGCCCAACCCCCTAGCCCTCCCCATTTCTCTCCCACCTCCACCCCCCCCCCCCACACACCGTTATTGTCCATGTGTCCTTTATAATGGTTCCTGCAAACCCTTCACCCTTTTGCTCTGAAATTCCCTCCCCTCTCCCCTCTGGTCACTGTCAGCCTGTTCTCAGTTTCAGTGCCTTTGGTTATATTTTGCTTGTTTTGTTGATTAGGCTCCTGTTAAAGGTGATACCATATGGTATTTGTCTTTCACCACCTGGCTTATTTCACTTAGCAAAATGCTCTCCAGTTCCATCCAAGCTGTCGCAAAGGGTAGGAGCTCCTTCTTTCTCTCTGCTGCATAGAATTCCATTGTGTAAATGTACCATAGTTTTTTGATCCATTCATGTACTAATGGGCACCTAGGTTGCTTCCAGCACTTGGCTACTGTAAATTGTGCTGCTATAACATTGGGGTGCATAGGTTCTTTTGGATTCATGTTTCAGGGTTCTTAGGACATAATCCTAGCAGTGGAATTGCTGGGTCAAAAGGCAGATCCATTTTCAGTTTTCTGAGAAAACTCCATACTGTTTTCCACAGTGGCTGCACCAGTGTGCAGTCCCACCAACAGTGCACTAGGGTTCCCTTTTGTCCACAACCTCTCCAACACTTGTTGTTTGCTGCTTTGTTTATGATGGCCAATCTGACTGGTGTGAAGTGGTATCTCATTGTGGTTTTAATTTGCATCTCTCTGATAGCTAGTGATATTGAACATTGTTTCATGTACTCTGGACCCTCTATATGTCCTCCTTGGAGAAGTGTCTGTTCAAGTCCTTTGCCCATTTTTTAATTGGGTTGCTTGTCTTCTTAGAGTGGAGTCGTGTGAGTTCTTTATATATTTTGGAAATTAAATCCTTGTCTGAGGTATCATTGGCAAATATGTTTTCCCATACAGTTGGTTCTCTTTTTATTTTAATACTCTTTTCTTTAGCCACGCAGAAACTTTTTATTTTGATGAGATCCCATTTGTTTGTTCTTAAAATCCTAGAACATATTGTCAAGATTTCCTCCCAAACAATTGGTGAAAATGTCCATTCATTAGCATTTTCATTAGAATGACATCAAATTAGCAAATGTATAACATCCGGTCTTCTACCTGGAAATGTACTTCCATTCTCTTGTCCTTTTCTGTTTTAGAAGAATTCTTCATACTGTTCAATACATTTCTTAACATGGGTGTCTTTACATGTTCTTCATGGTTGTGAATGTTACTGACAGCACACAGAAATTGTCTCTGTATCCCACGTGTGCCCAGCACATGCCTAGGCCTGGTAGGTACTCAGTATTTGCCGACTTACACTGTTTTAAGATAGGCCTTAGACCCAACGAAATTTTCAAGAACTTTTTTATAGCGATTTTCTGTCGTAAAAACAATACACCCCCATATCTTGCTCCCCTGTTCGTGTCGCTGTAATTCCAGAGTGGCTCCCGAGGGTGCCCAAAAGGCACTAAGTTCTAACTGGCCTGAATTCTCCTCCAGAAGCAGTACTGTCAACCAGATATGACCAAACTGGAGTCGGTTTAAGTGCTTTAGCCTAAATTTTATTTTAGAAACTTAATTTAAAAATTCCCTATTTCCCTGGGAAGGGCGGAAATTATATATGTATTATATACATACATATATTTTTAAAAGTCTATATAAACCCACATTTGTTTGACTAACTTAAGTTAAAAAGGTAACTACATATTAAAAAAAGCCTAATGACATATCAATAGTCCCAGTCACATCTTCATTGTGTCAAAGTTTTGGGTTTTTTCAAAAGCAGTATGTGCCGTATCTGTACATCAGCCTTCAGAAACTGACTGGGAGATGAAATGAGTTATTCTTAGTTATTGTCTACACACTTCCAAAAATGAACTTCTGTGGAAACAATATTAAAAACTGATCTATCTTTACTAAGTTTTTAAAAGTTTAGTCACAAGCTTTTCCCTCTGGAGTGCAGGTCACGTGACCTTCGGAAACCCTGCTCGGATTTTCCCAAATGAACACTGGCTGACTTGCCGTGGGGAAAGGCTGACTTGCCAAAAAAAAAAAAAAAGTTGCTTTAAAAGATCTTTTGCTATAAACACACATTGGTCACATATATATTTAACGAAAGCTACAATTTTCCTTGCTGCCACAGTATTTTCTAATTTAAATGAAAACAAAAGTATGTACATATGGACATTGCGTTTAACAAATCACTTGTAGTGATGGCATTTACTGTCTCCGAGATAGAACAGAAAAATTCTTTGCTAGGTGGCAACTGTCTTTTTAACCCCTTATGCCCGAAGACACCGGGGTGTGCTAGCAGGTAATGAGAATGGATCTGTTATTCCCAGATGCAGGGACGATCGAGAGCAAACTGTTGGGTCTGTCAGAATGCCAGCCTCAGACCTAAGAATAAAGTTCACGTTTTCAGGTTTGTCAGTTTAAGCTGGGGCTGAATTTGGAATATGAAACTGATATTTAAAAAGAATGTTCAATCTAGTTACTTCCTCTAAAAGGTATTCTTCTCTGGTAGAACATTATGATATATTCTTTATAGAGATAGCTGGCTGAGTTTTTTTTAACATATATATATATTTTCCAAACATTTTTTTATAATTCTCAGAACCTGTAGCTATAGTAGAAGATGAGAACTTGTCTCTGCTCTCTGCTCACTATGTGCATGGGTCCCGACACGGCCCCCAGTCACTGCACCGTGCGGCATCACGGTGAGCAGGGCACCACATTACTGCAGATAAGTAAACTGTGTGTTTATATATTATTCTACATTTTCTTCAATTGTTTTAACAAAACAGACATATAACATGCGCATTATTTCCACTCATAGTGCTTCACAATCATTTTATGAGACCGATGTTATACAAATGTAAAATGTACCAGTTTATCTCAAAAACCTTGATCTATTTTAATAGATCAACCAACAAAACTCAAGAATAGGATCTTTCATCCACCTTAGCTTGAACTTTCCCTTTCTGTTTATTCAAAGGACAAAAAAAAAAAAAAGAATATTCACCCAGTATTTACTATCACTCTCCACTCCCAGTTTCTAGCATAAGACTCAGCTAAGACACACATTAAAGGTTCTTATCCTCCTAAAACAGCAGCAGTGTAAGTAATCTGCCCCCATCTGAAAGGTGATCATTTTTTTTAAGATTTTATTTATTTATTTTTAGAGAGGGAAGGGAGGGAGAAAGAGAGAGAGAGAAACATCAATGTGCGGTTGCTGGGGATCATGGCCTACAACCCAGGCATGTACCCTGGCTGGGAATCGAACCTGCGACACTTTGGTTTGCAGCCTGCGTTCAATCTACTGAGCTATGCCAGCGAGGTCAAAGGTGATCATTTTAAAGTCCTTTTGGGTTGCAATTTTAATCTGTATTATGATTAAGACTTAGACTCCCAGGCTAGTGGACAGAAGTCTAACTAAATAAAAAATTGCTTAAAAATAGCACTATTTATTCCCCAGACATAATCAAAGCCGGGTGGAGCGCCAGGGTGAGCAGGCTGGCGGCTCTCTCTGTGCCTTAGTTTCATGGGGACAGCAGCAGAAGTCAGCACCTCACAGGGCTGTGACCGGGGTTAAACCACACCTAACCCTATGAATAGCGGCTGGCACATGGTAAATGTTCAAATGTTAAGTACCATCCGAGGAAACTTTCAGGCAGCAACTCTGAAGTGCACTGCCTGAGTGGGAGGGCTCTTAACCTGGCACTGGTCCGGTATACACTCATTAACCGCTCCAGAACCCCTGGGCTCCCCCACCAACCGCACCTCTCGGACAGTCTGAGTCAGCAGTAAGGCTCTGGTTCAGATGTGTGTTTTCCCGGAGGGGAGGCAGAACTTCCCATGTTTAACTGTCCAGAACAGCAGTGCTCAAACTTTCTGGTCTCAGGATCCACTTATACTCGGAGATTTCTGATTATATGGATTCTATTTATCAATATTTAATGTATTAAAAGTTAAAAGAGAAAATTTTTGAATTTCACTTGATTCACTTTAAAAGATGCCCATTATAGAGTAATATAAATATATTTTTATAAAAATACCTTATAAAAAAACTAAATTTAGTGCAAAGAAAGGCAATGTTTTCTATTTCTGTTAATCCTTTAAATGTCTGGCTTAGTAAAGGATAGCCGGATTTCCATATATCCACATTCTGCATTTAATCATCTGTTGCATTACGTTTCCTTGGTTGCAGTAAAGTCTAGACCCACAGAGACATGTGGCTGGAAATGAGTGGAGTACTGTAACAGCCGTCATGCTCTGGTGCTACACCAAAATGCAACAAACAGCTTCTTAAAGGTCAGCTGCAATATGGAAACTGAAGTCATATCAGTAAACTTTTTTGGACTCTGTTACATTAAAACCCATTAGTTTATTTTGTACTTTGAGTGAAACTTTTATCCATGCATCATGATCATTCAGAGAATACTGATTTTACCAAGTTACACAGATCTTTCCAATGTTGACACCATTTATTAAATATTTTTAAAAATCAGTTCATTAATATCACCACAAATCTCACTGAAAAACCCTTTAAGTGCTGAGCAGCTATCAAGCCCACAAAGGTAGATAAAAGTTTTCTGAAATCTAATTTTCACTTAAGAGCTCAAATTTTACCATTGGCAACATACACTGACTATTGTTTGCTTGAAGAGACAGGTCTATGTTGTTCATTTTTAAGAAAATGTCTGTTATATACACTCTACTGAGTAACTATAGTTTGTCAGTTGTTCTTTGAAGTAAAAACAATATGCCATGAAAAAAAGCAGCTAGTTCACTGGGTAACTCAATTGCTTTTCCTCAAGAAAAACATCTTTCTTTGATACAAAGCAGAGTGCTTTAGTAGTACTTCCCATTTCTTCACACAGGATATTAAAGAGGTATGTTCAGGAGTCAAGAGTCAATAAAACAATTTTTACTGCTTCAGTGAGGACATTCTTAGACAGTGATGGTTTTTTAAATGGCAAGCACATGGTAATGAAGAACACAATGACTGCTGGTACAGCTCGGGCCACTGCCTTGATGACACCAAGACACCAGCAGTCCCCCCGCCCCCACTGCTTCTGTACCATCAGTCCAAATGTCTTAGCATCATTATGGAAAGTTCTGACTTTATGGACCCCCAGGAGGGTCTCAAGCATCCCCAGCCTCTGTGGACCACAGTTTGAAAACCATGTTAGATCATAAAGGGCATATATGATCATCAAACCTCAGAACCACAAAGCCAAAAGCGAACTTGTGAACACTTGTGGTTTTTTTTTTTTCCTGAGAGAGAATTCGTACTTTTCACCAGCTTCTCAAAAAGGTCTGTCAAAGGTTAACGTGAAAACTTAAGCTTAGAAATGAACCCAAACTCTCCTATTAAAGCACCACTATCTGGTCTTACTAATTTTCACCACAAGAGATATTTCTGCTCTGAAAATATTCTGTAATATAGGTGGAAATGGCCATGCAGTTCATAGGAATAATTCGGGAAGTTCTGCATAAGCCCTGAGTAATCAGAAGGGGACCCAGATGCACTTTAAATGTGGTCTCTTACCATTACAATGTTCATAAGGCTTAAGTATGGTTATTAGGTCATTAAAGATACATAGAAATGGAAAGGGATTCAGCTGGTTTATGATTTTTTTACATTAACACTATTCTTCTAGAGCAAACATCAAGTTGTAATTATGTAGTTATTTGTGTGAATATTTATTTAATATCTGTCTCTCCCACCAGAGCTAGCTGCCTGAAGCGCTGATATGTTTTTTATTTTTGTATCTCTTATAGCTAGCTATAGCCCATAAAAAAGCCCAAGTTACAGGTGTTGAAGCAATAAAGTATTGTAACAGATAAATAAACCAGGAGAGGGCAGAGACAGAACAATACCTAAGAACGAGTATCTGTGAGCAAATGTGAGGACAATTTCGCAACTAGGTAAACGTACTATATGTGACCACAACGGTTACTGCTCAGTCTTGCTTTTGGAGAAAGGGTTTTCTGCCTGAATCACGTTACAGTCATTCAGTCAAAATTTACTGAGCACCTACTGTGTGCCAGAGAGAGGGGCTGTAGCAATGCACAAGCATGTGTGACCTCTGAATTCAAGGAGCTGACGTGTTTTTCATCCATACTAAGATGCACTTCATATGGACATGTTAGTGTCTCTGAAATAGAAATGCCCCTTGCAGTCAAGACTGTGTCAAGAGTTTAACTGGCATCACTTTTTCTTTCTTGGTTGTACATGAACTATTGGGGCCTCTTACAATTGATAGGGATTACCTAGGTTTGGATCTAAAATCACATTAGAAATAGAAAATGGACTGGCCAAGCTTTCAAAGTCTTGTTCTGCTAAAATGTAAGAAAGCACATATTTAAGTACCCCTTTTTAAGAATGACTTGATTAATTTGTGCACTTCTTGAAATTATGAGGTATGCATAGGTTTACTTCTAAAAGCAGTATGAAAAGCCATGGATATTTTCTTTATTTATCTTATGCAAATTAGCTACCATTTACTTGTAAACAATAACAATGCTACACATGGGTGTTGGTGTCACAAACCTTATTGAACCATTCAGGGCTTCTCTTTTTAGCCAATGATAATGTTGTAACGAATCCAGCTAGCATTCCTGCAGCAGCAACAGTACCTAGGAAAAGTCCACCTGCCAAGAGTTTTGGGGGTAGGGGGTGGAGGATGGGGAGAGAGATTAAGGAAAGAAAAAACAAAACAAAACAAAACCCTGCAGTTAAAAAGATGTACACAGTTAAATTTTAGGTACTATTTAAATTACATTCAAAATTACTTTTGAAATTCCAGAAATGACGGCTAAGCAGCTCTTGCCATCATTTATCAGGGATAAATGATAGGGCCTCTGAAACCTGCATGACTCCATGACCTCTAGTTCCTGAGGTCATTCTGAGATATCATTCCCAAGTGCAGGGAATGGGCACAGGGACCCTTCACAGGGACAGATGGATCTTGAGACTATCATGCTAAGAGAAATCAGTCAGACAAAAAGTCAAGAACCATATGATTTTACTTATATGTGGGACTTAAAACTGAAACCAACAAGTAGCCAAGAACTCACAGACACAGACAACAGTATGGTAGTTACCCGAGGGAAGGAGGGTGGGGTGTAGTAAAGGGTAAAGGGGTCAAATATAAGGTGACAGAAGGAGACTAACTTCTTCCTGTGTGGGGAGCGCGCAGTGCAATACACAGATCATGCGTCCCAGAACTGTACACTTGAAGCCTATAGAAAAAAGGAGGGCGCGGGAGAAACCGCAGAGGGCATGGGAGAAATGCAGCACACAGAACGGCTCGCGGATCCAGTTCCGCCCCCCGCCCCGCCCCCGCGACCAGGGGAGGCTCCACCCGGCACGAGCACCGACCCACGGGGGCCGCGGGACCCCCAGGTCTAAACTCAAGGGCAGATTCAGGCGAATTTCTCCCAGGGCGGGTGACAGTGGGAATGTCCGCTCCAGCGCGGGCAGAGCCCGGGCTGAGCTCGCCCGACCCCCGCAGCTCCCCGCACCACACCTTTAACCAGGAAAAGCCGGTCGTCGGCGGATCCCGGAGCCTCCAACCCGGAGGAACGTTCCCCAGCCTCGGGGCCCGCAGGCTCCATATTTATAATAAAGCCTCCACTCCTGTGTCCGGAGACAACTGGGCCCGGCTGGGAGCTACAGCGAGGCGGAGGAGAAAGGTTCCGCACTCACTTCCCCGCGTACAACCTGAATATCGGCCCGGGGACCGATCGCGGTCCCCACGCGATCTCTCTCCGCGGGGCCGGGAAGGGGGAGGGGATGGCTGCACGCGGGGTCCCTAGCCCGCCCCGGGGCGGCGTCCGCCAAGGCGGTCCCCGGGTCCTGCCTGCTTCAAGACCCTGCAGCTCCTTCGTACGAGGGCTCGGCCAGCGGTAACATCCCACGATTCTAAGAAGCAGGCTTCATTTTTCAGCTCTGTCATTTTTCTGGGAAATGGGTGTAAAGGACAGGTCCACCCCTGGAAGAGAGTCGGCTCGGGGGTAACGCGCCTCTCTCCCTGCGGAGGGGAGCGAAGGGCTGTCACAGCTGAGCGGAAGTGGAGGATGCGAGGAGCCGGCGGGGAGAGCGGAGCCTGGAGCGGATCCGCCTGGGAACGCGGGCCGCCGGCAGACAGGCCCGCTCTGCAGTCTGGGGGCGGGTTTGCCGGCGGTGGCGGACTCCGTGAATGGCCGTGGACAGGAGAAAATCTTTTCAGCCTCTCAAACACAGACACATGACAAAATCTTTTTAAATGAGGTGACCTGTCACGTGCTCATTATTCTCAATAAAAAAAAGGAGTGAACTTGAGGACGGGATGGAAATCTTTATTCATTTTTATTTTAAAATATATTTGATTGATTTTTCTAGTACAGTTGTCCCAATTTTTCCCCTTTTGCCCCTGCCACCTGGTACCCCCATTCCCTCTGGCAGTCCCCTCCCTTAGTTCATGTTCGTGAATCACGCATATGTTCATTGGCTACTCCATTTCCTATACTCTGCTCAACAGCGCCCTGTCTATTCTGTACCTAGCAATTTGTACTTCTTAATCCCGGCACCTTTTCCCCCATTCTCCCCCTTCCCCCTCCCAACGGATAACCCTCCAAATGACCTCCATACCTGTGCTTCTGTTTCTGTTCTGCTTGTTTGTTTCGTTTGTTTTTTAGATTCAATTGTTGGTAGTTGTGAATTTATTGCCATTTTAATATGCATAGTTTTTATCTTCTTTTTCTTAAGCGAGTCCCTTTAACATTTCATAGAATAATGACTTGGTGATGATGAGCTCCTTTAGCTTTACCTTGTCTGGGAAGCACTTTATCTGCCCTTCAATCTAAATGATAGGTTTGCTGAATAGAGTAATCTAGGTTGTAGGTCTTTGCTTTATATCACTTTGAACACTTCTTGCCAGTAAAGCTTCTTTCGAGAAATCAGCTGACAGTGTTATGGGAACTCCTTTGTGGGTAACTCTCTGCTTTCCTCTTGTTGCTTTTAAGATTCTCTCTTTATCGTTAACCCTTGGCATTTTAATTATGACGTGTCTTGGTGTGGCTCTCTTTGCATCCATCTTGTTTGGGACTCTCTCTGCTTCCTGGATTTATAATGTCTATTTCCTTCACCAAATTAGGGAAGTTTTCTTTCGTTATTTTTTCAAATAAGTTTTCAATTTCTTGCTCTTTCTCTTCTTCTGGCACCCCTATGATTCGAATGTTGGTATGTTCAAAGTTTTCCCAGAGGCTCCTTAGCCTATCCTTGTTTTTGGATTTTTCTTTCTTCTTGCTGTTCTGAGTGAATGTTGTTTTCTTCCTTATATTCCAAATCATTGATTTGAATCTCAGCTTCATCCACTCCACTGTTGATTCCCCTGTAAATTTTTCTTTATTTCACTTAGTGTAACCTGCATTTCTGCCTGGGTCTTTTTTATGCTATTGAAGCAGCCAATGAGTTCCTTGAGCGTTCTAATAATCAGTGTTTTGAACTCTGCGTCTGATAGATTGCTCACCTCCATTTTATTTAGTTCTTTTCCAGGAGTTTTGTTCTGTTCTTTCATTTGGGCAATAGTTCTTTGTCTGCTCATTTTGGCAGCCTCTCTCTGTTTGTTTCTATGTATTAGGTAGAGCTTCTTTGACTCCCTGTCTTAGAGGAATGACCTATTACAGAAAGGTGCACCCATAAGTTGGATGGGGTGGAGCCTTAGGTAATCCCCAGGGCAGGGCCACCCATGTGAACCAGGCTGATGGAGTCTCAGATACGGTGTCACTGCTCTGTGGCTCTGTGTGTGGGGAGGTCTCAGAAAGGGGACAATGCCACTGCCTGGCTTCTGGAGTTTTGTCTGGGATGAGGCTATCCCCCAACACTCTCCCTGATGCCAGACACATCAGTTTCTCCCCATTTGCCACTGGTGCCCTTCAAGCTGCTGCCCTTGTAGTGGAGCCCAGAGGGAGCGAGTCTGCATAAGTCCTAAGTCCGTTGCAAGCCCTTTAAGAGGAGATGCCTGAGAATCCCACAGTTTCTTCCACCACCCCAACCTCCACTGGTTTTTACAGCCAGAAATTCTAAGGACGTATCTTCCTGGCACTGGAACCCTGGACTGGGATCCCTTGCTTCCGAGGTATCTCTCCCAGTTCTTATCCAACACACATAGGTGTGGAACTGCCCATTCTGTTTCTGTGTGTCTCCATGTGTCTCCACCCCTTCTGTCCTGCTGGATGAATCGGATTTCTTTAATTCTTTGTTTGTCAGACTCCATACAGCTCAATTTTCTGATGATTCTGCGTGATATTTGTTTTGTAGTTTAGTTGTAATTTTTGCTGTGGTTGTGTGAGAAGGCAAGCTGTGTTTATCTATGCCTCCATCTTGACCAGAAGTCCTTTATTCATTTTTTTTAAGGATTTTTTATTTCTTTATTTTATTTATTTATTTATTTTTAGGGAGGGAAGGGAGGGAGAGAGAGAGAGAGAGAGAGAGAGAGAGAAACATCAATGTGTGGTTGCTGGGGGTTATGGCCTGCAACCCAGGAATGTACCCTGGCTGGGAATCGAACCTGGGACACTTTGGTTCCCAGCCCACGCTCAATCCACTGAGCTACGCCAGCCAGGCCTTTATTCATTTTTATATTCCCCACCTCTCAGTGTAATCCCTAGTCATGCATATTAAATAAATATTGGATGAATGAGTAAATGAAGGCGTCACTTTTTGCGTCCGTTAAATGTAATTAGTAGCTCAAACCTGGGCTCAGGTCCTAAGCCACTTTTCAGCTATATGAACTTGGTTGCGTCACTTAGGCTCTCTACACTGCAGTCTCTCATCTGTAAAATAACGAAACTGATAGTGCCTACGTCATCAGGTTGCTGAGATTAACTTGTTCAACCCAGCTATCAAGTGGCAGAGCCAGGATTTAAAAGTGGCTCTGCTGAGTCCTCACCCACTGCCCACTGGTCCTCGAGCTGGGCCTTGATGACTGGAATCACCCGGAAGGGTGATTGACCACAGACAGCTGGGCCTCACTCCCAGAATTTTGGATTCAGTGCCGTTAGGGTGGGGCCTGAGAACTTTGATGTCTAATAAGTTCCCAGGTGACGCCGATGCTGCAGTTGCAGTCGGGGAACGTCTCCTCTCTGCCGCATTCCTCCAGGTACACCTCTCAAGATCCACTTTAACACTTAGAAAATGTGCAGCTTCCTCCACGCACCCCGTCTTTGGCGTTTCCCCAAAAAGCACAGAAACATTTAGTTTAAAGGATTTTTTTTTACTATTTACCGAAAGGAACAGAAGATAGATGGTAACATCTTTAAATCTAGGGACAGCACAGCGTCCTGTACTCTACAGCTGTCTCTATTTTGAGACAGCAACTACAAACCCTGCTTTTATTCTTGAGGATGCAGCCCACAAATGTCTACCTTCTTTCTAAATGGCCAAGTGAAAGACAATTTTATTCCTTCCTACTTTCCCGGAATACAGAGGGAGGAGGCGGCAATTACAGTAAACCAATGGGTAATCTTGGCCTTAGGTGAGCAATTTGCAATTTGCAGATCCTCCTCACAGGCATACTCTGAGGAGGAGGGCCTGAGTGCCCCTGGGACAGGGCTGGCTTATGGGGAACTATAACCCATTCCTCACGTGCCCCAGGCTCCTGCTGCTTGCTCTGTCCCAGGTACTGGGAGACGGCGGCTCCAGGGCCTGGGACACCTGTAAGTTACAGGGCTGGGGAGTTCCTGGCCCTGAGATTAGAACCACATTCCAGGCATCCCAAGTTAGAATGCTTAAATAAAATATACTTTAAAGACAGTGTTACTCAAGGTCTCATCTTCCTACAGTGCACACAGGTACCTCGGGTGCCACATGAGTATCTGGCCTGCTTTAGGAACCCCCAAATCCCACACAGCCTGGTTTCTATAGGAAAGCATTATACCAGCTCCCAAAAGGCAACCTGGAAACATTGGGAGCACAGACTCTACAAGACAGGGACGCTAGTTCTGTAAGAGCAACACAGGCATTTCCCAGCGTGAAAACCAGGGATCAGGAAGCTGTGCAGCTTCGGCGCTCTGTGCAGTTCGAGCAGACTGTCCCTTCAGTGGAAGCAGGATTCCCTTTCAGAAGGATGTAACGGACATTTCTTGCAAACCAAAGAGGCTGCTGGGAAAGCAAGTTTCTCTGAGACACATGCTGTTGCTATTTTGGTGTTATTTTTAGCCAGTTGAAGTCTACACCAGTGATGTGTCTGACCACATTCTTACTTCAAACATTTTGGCTCCAAAAGATTTGATTTCAGCTTAATGACAGCTAGAAACCTGTTAGCATTCGAGTTTCCAAAACTTGGATAGCCCTCGCTCTAGTTAGTTCCAAATGATGATGGGTTTTTCTTCCATTTATTTTTAAAACATGGTTTTGAAGTTTCAGTTTCTCTCTGCTTATGATATGAACCTGAATTCTTTCTAAAACCTGACAAGAGTCACATATTGGTAACTCTTCGTCCCGCTTCTTGATACAAGAGACTTGTCCAAAATATAGTGCAGAAATCTTTCAAAATTGTGGACTAAGTGTGTGCATAGAAAAAGAGACCTGCTGGACTTTACACTGAATTATTAACAGAAGCTAACTTGAAGGAAGTAGGGAGGTAAAACTTGCTAATTCAGCTATTTTCAACCTTTTTCATCTCATGGCACTCATTAATTACTAAAATTTTGCAGCACATCAAAAAAAATATTTTTTCTGCTCTGACAAAAAATAGGTATAATTTTGACTGGTCTACCAA